AATTTCATTGTTCGAAGCCAAAAAAATTCTCAGAAAAGCGACCGTTAAACGATATTTAACCTGGCGATTATTGAATATAGAGGGACAGCGTTGAAGAGTAAGGCGAAGTTTTAACACGCGAACAGCTCTATAGCAAAGTGGCAAAGTTCAGTGGATTCGCCGAAAGGAGTCCTGGCGCACGCAGATGCTTTAATTGGAGCGGGGAAGTTTGCAAGTTGAAACAGTCGCGTGACAAAGTTTAAGAGATACACGGTTTGAGTTCGTGGGAATGGAGGGCACGGTGTAGTTCACGAGGTGTTCAGAGACGGCGGAAGAAGTCGTTCGAGTGCTTGTCCCGATAAAAAGTACGGGAATATTCGAGTTGTAGCTTTAACTAGATCGTTTCCGAGTGTGTGCTGTTTCAAAATGGGAAGTCCAGGCTCGTCGAGCAAACTTCCTTTCGTGTCACTTTGAAATTCTTCGTAACGTGCACGTTCGGATAAAACAATCGTTGGAGGAATATGAAAATGAAAAAGTGAGAAAATGATCTCTTTTGCATATGGTAGTGAAAATGAAACGAAAACGAAATTTTTTTGCATCGAACGAACAAACTTAATCTGTTAATAAATCCCTGCAACTATTACTGGAATTAAAATTAATAAATTGATGTTTGACAGTGTAGAATGTGAAATCTTTTTTGCGTGTAGCGGATCTTAAAGAAATTATTTTGCTCAAACGAGTGACGATCTCGTCTTCGAATCTTAAAGAAAAATCTACAATCAAACAGCACCACTGAATAAAAAGAAACTCGCGTAATTTTAAACAAGTCAACAGCTATTAAAAGTACGTGCCAACCTTCGCGATTCAACAGATCAATCCTCTCTAACTGGAATCTCATTCGCCAAAGAAATGTTATCAATTGTTAGCATGCGAAGCTCTTCACGCCAACGTAGAATCTAAAGAAACTAAATAATAATTACTGTAAATGAGTCGTTGGATCGATGGTTTTGTAACGGCGCGTCGATGAAATGCAAATCAACGAAATCAAACGATCGAATACGTAAATATGTAACTCTCGAGTTACACGACGTTGTAAACCGGTAGAGGATTAAAATTCATAACGTCGAAACACCAGGAAAGCACTCTGCAACAGAGCCGTTCCATCAGATACCGCGTCGTGTTCCTCGCCTCGTCGGATGAAATATTTTTTAACGAGAATGGGAAATATCCGAGTCACTGACCCAGATTCCCTCTCTCTCTCTCTCTTTCTCTCTCTCTGTATCTATATGACGTTTCTCTTTCGGACGCAACAGCCGGCGACCACATCGCCGCAATTTCGTGTGGAAATTCACACTTCGTTCAACAGCCGATTCAGTTTTCCGTGTCGGGGCCGGTCGATCGTCCACCGTACAGAAATTCCGCCAATTTGCCGCCGCGGATCATCGAGTGTCATCGAAATCCAGCACGCTTCCGGTTGCCCGCCCTGGCCAGTTCTTCTCTTGCACGTGTAGCCACGCTTGTTAATTGAAAATTAGCCAGCATGCATTGACATAAGTTACCTGCGTGATGAAGTCGCAATTGTATTGTTGGATGTGACGAAGGACCATTTCAAGATACTCTACATTATCCTACTAATTTTTATTATATTTTTTTCTACTCTGTAACATTTCTATATTAATATTCTATATTATTGTCTATTGTTATCATTTCCATATTATTCTATAATTTGCGCGAGTGTTCAATGCCAACGTTTCATATTAACATTTTGTTGTTGTCATTCTATAGTAATTTCTATATTATTCTGTAACATTCTGTATGTAAATGTTTTTATGTTCTAACACGTAACTCGGTATATTAACGGAAACTATTGAGAAGAAACATGGACTCTGGAATTTTAATATTGTAAACAGTATACTTCGCTGTATATCAGAAATGTTAAAGGAAATATTTATACTACTAGGCAACTAGTAGTATGAAAATGTCACTCAAGTCCTTCTTGCATCCAACAACACAATTTTCTTTTCCCAGAGAGAAGCTTCTACAAAATGCACTTTCGAACACCTTTTTATCCACGTGGATGAACGAATTTTTACACAACAACAACTTCTTGTCTTCTTTTTGCAAACGTGAAAGTACGATCGACGAATGGTGGAGGAAGCTTGACAGAAATTTAAGAAAAGAATTACAATGAATAAACGTGAGATTTAAGAAAAGAATTACAATGAATAAACGTGACCATTATAAATTTGGTTAGATTGATTGGAAAGCATTTACATAACGCTGACATGTTCGTTATTAAACGAAAGATATTATTGACCGCTTAAAGATATATGTAATTGGAATTAACTTTGATGCTACTTTTTATTATTTTTATTATAATAATTTATTATATATTTATATAATAACTTATTATAATAATTTCCTTTGGACTGTGAAGAATATAGAAATATAAATTTTATATATATTTTTTTTAAACTATTCTTTGGAGAAGAAGTGTAAAATAGTAAAAATGTAAAATACCTAGAAAAATATTTAAATTGAATATTCCAAGTTATCACCTAAATGAATTTTTACACATATAGCTACAATGATACATATACTACGAAAACGAAATATGGAACATGATATTTATAATATTATATTAAACGTGTTCCTTGACCGATTATGACACAAAAATTCAATGCAATACAAATACCTCGTAATTTGAATCGTGTGACTTATAATTACCACTAAAATATTACCAAATTAATAATGCGAAAGTTCAACACTTTTTTGGCAAAATTCTCTAAATACAATTAAACGCGTATAAATTAGAAATCAGTAGTAAAAAATAAAATTCCACCTCCAAAAAAGACACAATACTTAAGCGGTCAAGAAATATTCGCAAGTTACGTCTAGGAATAAATTCTCCCTTGATTTTTGATGATGGAGGAATTTTCATTAGTTCGCCAACGTCGGTGTGCACCAACGAATAGCTTTGTTCGTTAATTAAACAATTCCGCGCTGCGTGAACCAGATAAAACGAGGGGCGGAAGGAGTTGGGGGGGGGGGGGGGGACGGTTTGATGGAAAATTGCAAAACCGTCTATATTTCCGCGTGTCAACCATATTTTCCCACCGATCAATCGTCAGTTTTATTACTCATAAATAAGGGCGGCCGCGCGTTCACAAAACGCGTCGAAATCGTTTGTTACGCTTCCTCGATCCACCGATCACGCCGATCGTAGCGATACGTTTTCAATGGAGGAACACGGCCGGCCCGTGATTTATGAATTTTCGTTCGGAAAGCCCAACGTGATAACCGACGCGACGAATAAACTCGACGGGGATTGTAGAAATATAACGAACACGATGGGGGAGGAAACTTTTCATCTCCACGTCGTGAGATCGATTGGCTTCAAGTGGTATCGTTCTCGTTCGATTCGAAATAGAAATAACGAATTAAAGCATAAAATTGTACATCTGTATCTTCATTATTCATTACGAAGAATACAGACATAATAATTTCATATTGTACAATTGTTTTTTAAGGTCTACTTTTAAATTTAAATTCCATTTTATAAAAACAAATAAATTTATATATGTTTTATAGATTAAATTAAATCGACGAGCATGATTTAATTTCACTTAAAAAGAAAATGCGTAGGTGACAATGTTGGACGATTTTCTATTCTATATCCGGTGACTTGTAATTGACAGAATTGAATAATACAGGCGACAAAGTGCCTTCTAGTCAGATACAGTGCAAAACAATTTAAATAAATTTCTTGCAACTGGATTTATGCCCTATTAGAAAGAAACGGGTGTCTGAATATTTTCGAGCCATGTACAGTGAGTTCAGAATTTCAAAAAAAAAAAAAAAAAAAAAGAGAGAGAGAAATCGTTTCAAATGAAATATCGCGAAACATCGAAGTTTTGATACAACTGTCCTGAATCGAACGAGAGTATCAAAGCTCGATGGATAAATACGTCAGGGATAAAGGATGGTCTCGCGTTCGGTTTCGAAATTTGATCGAACGCTGCAGCGATCCTTTCATTCGCCAAGTGGATGAAATTCATCGAGTCGGCGAGAACGGTATAATTCACGATTCAATGAAAAAGTTAAATCGTATCCTTCGTATGCCTCGAACAAGGAGAGAATACTCGAAGCTCGAATTTATTTATTACTCACGAATGCTTCGTTTACAGGGAGTCGAAGGCAATCAGCGTCTTTTTAACGTGAAAGAACGTGTGCTTTGCAGGCGTTGAAGTCTCCGAAGCGAACGATCGCTCGTTTCTTCGATCGGTTTCAAATTAAATAAATATAATTCGGTTCGTTGATTGAATAAATATATACATTAATGGATATTCATATAGATTTATGGAATATTTCAAAATGTAAAACTGCATAGAATGTGCGTAATGTGAAAGAGTAATATTAAATATTAATAATTAAGGCCCAGTGCTTTCTGTAACGTCGATATTCCGCCAGAAGCAACAGTTTCTATTTATATTATATGTAACATTTAATATAAATCTGTTCTTTTTTTCAAATTATATTCTCAAAAATATGAAAATCTGCCATCTATCTAATAATACATCGTTACATCATTAACAATTTCCTTTCCTTTTTTTTTTTTTTTTTTTTTTGTAACAGCAGAAAAATAAAACAATTTCTCAAAGACAAAAAATTCATAGCCTGTCAGCGGTAGTCCGAAAATAAAATTGACAATTCTTCTCGATAAGTTAGGTAAGATGATTCATTAATCTCGCTTAATCTCAAAGGAAAGAGAAACGCGAGAATGGTGATTTCAAATCACTAGTAATTTTTTAAAAAAATTTAAAAACTGGAAGAGTAAAAGGCACACGTTCGAATTTTCGAGACGGAAAAAATGATGTGTACTGAATCTAAATGAAAAAAAAGGAAAAAAAGAAACGAGCATAGAAAAATATCGGGAAAAGTTTGAAAAGACGCTGGTTGCGTAGAGGGATTCAAAGAAATACGAAAGAAATGTGACTGATCGTGTGATTTTTATTTTGCAGTGTTTATTACGACCCGTTCCTAGCAGCGCACGCGGCGACGCAGGATCCCAACTACAGGCTACAGGTGAGACACGAGATTCCTCTGATTTACCGCCGGAAATTGTCGCCGGTGCTCTGTTTCCGGGGCGCGAGCGGCAACGAATGAGTTTTTAATTAAATCGAGCAACGCCCCTCGGCCAGATTGAAACGTCAGCGCGCTTAATCGATCACCTTTCAGACGCTGCCGATAGATTATCGTGAATTAATTGGTAAACGAACCCCGGTCGATCGTTGTTTGTATATCGATTCATCTTCCTCGATCTACTCGCGACCGGCAGAAAATTGAAACGCGGTTCGACCCTTGAAAAATCCAAATTAATCGGCGTTTTTTTTTTTTCGATCTTTCACCGGTTCAACCCTTCAATGGATTATGACAATTATTTTGTAGCAGCAATTACTCTCACGTATATGAAAAAATAAACGATAAAAAATTGTCCGAAAGTATTCGATGCATTTTATGAATACATATATTAGCGTGTGTGCTGTATGAAAAGGTTTTGAAATTTCATTCGGCATTACGAGATACTGGTTAAATTTCAAAGAAATGTGAAAATACAAAATATTTAGTTTTACAGAGATAAACAGTCAGTTATCCATTATGTTAGTAAATCTGGATATTTAATGAAATCATACTTAACATTTACTGTATGCTTGAAATGTATATTAATTTTCTACTAAACTATTATAATAAATATCTTGTAACATCAGTATAATCATCGTGTCTCGTTACAATATTCATGATATCTCAAAATGTTTTATATAACAAACACGTGGATATAAATGTTCAAATATGAATTTTATCATGAATTTCATTAACTTTGGAAAATATATTCAATACAGAAGCTGGAAATCCGTACTACTAACAGTAAATCGATTGTATCAAAACAAGAATATTTTTCCATTTTACATTTATTTATTAATTTTATAGTTATTTATTAATCTTTTAATTCTCTGGACTCTTACAATGCTGAAAGAATATTTTTGATAAAATATCCTCTGTCTGGATATTTTTCCTTCCCCTCGAAAATTGAATTTGTCTCACCGTAGAAGGGTTGAACTACTGAAAATTCAACATCCGAACAATATTCAATGTAACAACTCGATGATGAAAATTTATCGGAGAGATTGCAACGATCAAAATCAACGGAACATCGTCAAAGGCACGATTGAAAATTCGTCACAGACAATGATTCCAGCACTCGAGTATAAAGTAGCCTTTGTACACTTCGATCGACCAGGAAACGGCGTTTCCACGTGACAATGGCGGAACCGGTCGGACGTTCTTATCCTCTAGCAAAAGAGAAAAAGAGAGAGTGAGTTCATTGTTACCTCTAAAAAAAAAAAAAAAAAAGGGGGGGAAAACCGCTTTTTTTTAATCAATACCCGGCTCGATTCAACGCACTCGAAACGTTGTCTATCGCGTCGCGGAAACAGAGCACGAGACGTTCGAAAAAAAAAAAAAAAGAAAAACTTAGAAAAGCGTAAAAAAGGAAAGGATAAAACGAAACGTCGAAACGAACAGAAAGAAACAAAAGAGCTATAGACCAAA